ACACACGAGGAGTTCAGAGCACAGTGATTTAAAACAGAATGGGGGTGGGGGGATGCGTGCCTCTAATTGCTATTTGAAAACAAATTTCTTTAAGTTCCCTTCTCCATAGTCAGGAAGTCATTGTAAGTAACAATGAATTTATGAGCATAAGGAGGAGGACATTTCTACTTTAATTACAACTCAATTCCACTTACCTTTGACGGGAACTGATTTTTTTTTTTTTCTATCTATCTTTCTGGCCTGATGCTCCCATATCCGGTCAAAGAAAAGGAAAAGGGCAGGTTGAGTTACACAGAGATCCTGCATGAAGCTTGTTGCCCAGCAGAGTCCCCTTCCCAGCCAGAGACTACAGTGATGCCTCCAGGCATCTCTCCACCTTGGCCTCGTGCCTTTCACCTTTGCCCTCTTGTCTCCCACCCCCCACTCCGCCAGCTCATCCTCTCCTTCACTTGTCAACCCAGATCTCTGGCAGATTTTCCCAGGGTCCCGTCCCTCAGTGTTACCTTTCATTTCCCTGCTGTCCTCGCCTTTTGCCTCAGGCTGACCTACCACTACCTGTATGGGTCATCCAGACAGCAGAAGAATTCAATTCCAGAGAGCAAAGGCCATTCCTTTATCCATTGCTTTTGAATTGTGGTCAAAAGACAACATAAACTTTACCACCTTAACTATGTTTTAAGGGTGCAGCTCAGTAGTGCTGAGGCTGCTCGTGTGGATATTTAACAAGTCTCTGGCAGCATTTCATCTCTTAGACATGATGACATGTGGTGATTTATTGTGTACCCCTAATAAAACTTACCTGAAGATCAGAGAACAGAACAAACCACTAGATTAAACATAGAGGCCAGGCCGTGGTGGCACACACCTTTAATCCTAGTATTCAGGAGGCAGAGATCCTCCTGAATCTCTGTGAGTTCAAAGCCAACCTGGATTACATAAGATTGACTTGGTCTAGGAGAGAAACAGAGCCAGGCAGTGATGGCTGGGTGGAGAAAGGTATATAAGGCATGAGGAGTCAGGCTTTTTGGCTGAGGAACACCCTTCGGCTAGAAAGCCTTTTCAGGCTGAGGAGTTGGTGAGGTAAGAGGATGTGGCTGTGGCTTGTTCCTTTGTCTCTCTGATCTTTCAGCATTTACCCCAATATCTGGCTCTGGTTTTTTTATTAAGACCATTTAGGAATTCGTGTTGCAGTGACACCCTACACCTTTAACAGTTCTCCCCTACCCCAGTTCCTGTAACCACCCTTCTACTGTTGTACCCAGAGTCCCCCAAAGACCACCAAGAGACCGAATCTGATGCAAAAGCAAAGAGTCTTTGTTACGAGTTAACTCGGGACTCTCCATCTATCTGACGCAGCAGCAGAGCAGGAGAGACCCCGAGTAGCAATGGGGCAGGGTTTTTAAAGCCAGGGGGGCCTGGGGGGCCTGGGGGGCCTACAAACTTCATAGGAACAGACTCAGGATTGGTTTATGCAAGTGGCAATCATGTTAGTAACTTTTAATTGGCTAGAGTTAGTTGGGGATTACAGTTATCAGTTTTGGAGCAGGCCTGGACAAGTCCCAGGCTTTGTTGTCCTGGAGCTGCCATGGAGGCTGGCTGGCCTAGCACATACTGACTATGGGGGCTGACTCAGTGGCCCAGGCTCTGTCCTTGACTCTTGCACATAGCTCTAAGTTGGTGAGCAGTCCCAGACAGTAAACAGCTGGCTGAACCTTGAGCCGTCAGAGTACATGTAGAAAGGGAGCTACTGCAAGGACTATGTCTTTTGTTCATGGCCCTCCCAGAAACTGCTTGCTCAAGTCTCAGGAAACTGAAATTGAGGCCTGATCCCTGAGAGAAGACTGAGCAGCCTGTTATGGCGTCTACTTGGTCCTTTCACTACCATGTGCAAGTTTGACTACATAAGTAGGACTACATAAGTCCATCTTTTGGTGACTGGCTTCCTAGGGTTCTTCTGTGTTGTAGCAGGTGATGGGAAGTCCTTCCTCCCAAAGGCTGAATCTTATTCCCTGCGTCTGCCATGTTTTCTTTCGTCACTGATCTGTCTACAGGTCTTGGAGTTCCCTCTTAGCTCTTGGCGATGGTGCATCTTTGGAACATGGGTGTGTTGAGGATATTTATTTCCTCCAGACTCTGCTTCTAATTATTTTGGGTATATATCCAGAAGTGAGATTGCTGGATCATGTAGTGGTTCTATTTTCATTTCTTAAGGGAAAGGACTGTGTTTGGGTAGATTTCCTATTTCTCTCCATGTTTCTGTCTCTGCGTGGGACAGTGCATGGGTAGCTGTACAGTGCTGCGCACAGTGTGTTAGGTGACTTGGCTGCACTGAAACTCAGCAACAGGGAACAGCCTTGTAAAGGGTTCCTTTGCCACGGTATTGAAGAGAATGACTTAAATAAGTGTGGTTTAAAATACTGATCTTGTTGTCAAAGATAAGACTGCCTTCTGCACCCATCTGCCCCAACACATTCCTTTGAGTTTGGTTGAGTACATTTGGTCTTCCTTTGAGTATCTTTGTGCCTATAGTTAGATTCACTGGTTTGCCTCTGGGTTTTCACAAGAGTTGATGGTAGCCTGGTGAGTTGGCTCAGTGTTTAAAGCATTTGCCACACAAGTATGAGGGCCAGGTTAGATTTCCGACATCTAGGTGGGTTTAGGGGCCAGCCTGTAATTCTAGCAGATAGAGATCCTGCCTCAACAACTAATATAAAGAGTGACTGAGGAAGATTCCTGATGTCCACATGCGTGACCACACACATACAAACGCACATACTGTATACATGGGATGTGGTGGTGGGGACTAATAGTGGCCTCTCTTAAAATAAGCGTGTGTGTGTGTGTGTGTGTGTGTGTGTGTGTGTGTGTGTATGTGTGTGTGTGTGTGCCGTCTAAGGAGGCGTACACAGTTGTGGGTCTGTGGGCCACAGCATATGCTTTTTAACAGTTGACACTTTGACCATTTAGATCTATGAAGACTCCATTGTCCTACAGTCAGTATTTAAGAGTGCTCGGCAGAAAATCGCCAAAGAAGAAGAGAGCGAGGAAGAAAGCAATGAGGAGGAGGAGGAAGATGATGAAGAGGAGTCTGAGTCAGAGGGTAAGCCCCTGCATCTGGCCCCTTCCACCTGTTGGGCTCTTTCCACAGATGCTAAAGGCCATGCACATGCCCTGCTCAGGCCCCGTTTGCTCAGCTGTTAAAACTGAGCGCACCTACCACAGAACTCAGGGCTGCCAAGGGTCATTGAGAATACTCTGCCCATGTTGCCTTTGGATGTTGGAGTAACACTAGTGTGCATGCTGCCCGGCTCCCCTGTAGCCTGACAGCTACAGGGCTTGAAGAACATGCCTGCTGGCCCCATCACCTACATGTGTGACAAGTTCCCACAGGCTGCCGCTCGGCCCAGGCCACACTTAGACAGTCATTGATTTTTGAGAATAATTGTCAAACTGATCTCAGTATGCCCATCAATTTTGGTCTGCATGGAGACATGCTTTCAAGCATGGCTAATCACTTGCTTAGTGTAGGTGACTTAGAAGGTGAAAATAAGTGGTACAATCTATAATATTTTGAGAAGTGTTTCAGTTTTATATATTTTGTAGCAAAAGTTTCCACACTTAAATCTAAAATCATTTAAAAATGTATCAAAAAAATGTCTTAATTTTATTGTTCCAATGAGGCTATTTCCTTACATTCTCGCAAGAGATTGAAAGTCTCATCCCACGTATTCTTTCTGCAGTGATTGAATTCCCTGTCCCCACTGTAATATGTTCAGCCAGTCTTGAGGTCTACAAAGACTGGCTCATGGGGTAGATCCTCCTTCTCAGGACCTCACCCTCAGATACTTGGGAATGGGAGCTCTGGACTACCTATTGTAGAAGTTCCTTTGGGGCTGTAGCACTTTGCACGCTTCCGAATAAGATCAGAGATGGCTGCAGTCTTCCTAAAGTGTGTTTGACAGGCAGAGTGTCCAGTGTGGCTGCCTCTACTGTACCCCCACCAAATTCTGCCAACAGGGCTCAACAGTGGCTTTGTTCCAGTGCCCATCACTGGGGACTGGTGAAATCAATTATAGAGTAAATCATGCATGGAACTTTTCAGGTGTTGAAAAGAATTAAGCTATATGTCTGAGCTAATATGTATGGCTGTCTCCTGTGTGTAAGTAAAGAGCAAGGCATGGACAATGGGTGTGCCTGAAGATCCATGTAATAACTAAATAAAACTTCAAAT